GATATTTATCAATGGGAGAAGGTTGTTTCTGTCTAGAATGACGGGGGAGGGGGGAGGGAGGGGAGGGGAGGAGGGAGATGGAAGGTGAATAAATTATAGGGCGGATTGGTGGCCGGTGAGTGATAGTTGAGGAATGTGTGAGGTGGGGTGGATGTTTCAAAAGAATGTATATACTGCATATAATATATTCAACATGGCTTCACATCTAAATAACTTCCTACATTAAGATGAAGTGTAGATAATAGCATGAGTACTGTAGATCCTAAAGTTCATAAAATAATCTGAAACCTCTACTTCACTATACATAATCTCAATGTACAAGTGAAGAAAATGAGGTCTTGAGTTATTATCTACTAGTGTGTGTATTTTTATATGTTTAGAAACAAAATTTGCATGCAAAGAGTTTGTTTGCCAAATAAAATTAATTCCTAGGATGGACGGATTTTCTAAAATATTAGATGCACATAATTACAATATGTACAAAGCCATTCTTGTATCCCACGGTTTGCATTTTAGAATTTTCCTGGCAATTGGCATCGATAAACCTTATGATGCTAACTGTCAAAGCCTTAAGCAAGCTATCAATAGGATAACCACTCAAAACAAAATTCTTCATAATAGTTTAGTGAAGGTTGAATCCATAGCTGGGCTACTTAAGTGGTGAGTACTTGCATTAGAACACCATGTCTTCGCATGGCGAGAGATGGTTAGCAAATATCATGCCATGGAGAAGTTTCTGCTAAACAACTTTCTTGCATTTAAAGCTTATCAGATAGGAGAGCCTGATAAGAGTACAACTTCATAAAATCAATAGCTAGCTTGAGAACCAAGTTGAAGTAAAGCCCTTATTTCTAGTTTGCATTCAAGTTCGTGACATGATTCTTGATAAAATCAACCAGTTGAAGTAAAGCCCTTATGTCTAGTTTGCATTCAAGTTCGTGACACAATTCCATAAGTCCCAATTCCATTTGAAGCCTCATAGTCCTTTCGTCTTAGAGTTATTGATAAAATCAATAGCTAGCCTTGAGAGCCAAGATGGTCTTGCGAGAGCTTAAATAGTACAACTTTCTAGTAGGAATCAAGAAAGTTCACTCTAACGAAATGATACAACTCGATAACTCATAATAATACTGCTAGCATTGATGTGATTAACGTTGAGTAGAGAAGAAGTTTGATAAAGGAGATTTTTGTGACTCCTAATTAACAGGAAAAGATCGAAGGGACAACGTTGGAAGACTTTGATATTCATTGTTCATGATTCTAAAGATGATTAGGGACAATGCATACTAATTGACTCTGCTCGCCTATATAGAAATCTATTATAATGAATTTGGAGAATCTGAAGTCATTTAAGTCTTTTATGTTGGATGACAAGGTTGAAAAGTCTTACCTACTTTTGATGACATAAACTGAGAGGATAAGCTAAAAGAAAATTCACTTTTGTAGAAAAAATTCATAACAGTACATCATGGCTTGTCTATTGAGTTATTGTAGCTCACTATAATTTTGCTTATGATTTTTTTGGATCTAGGAAGGGGAAGGAAATGGTAGACAAGCAGTTTAGGATTAGATTTAAGATCATAGGTATTTTGATATTTTAATTTTTATATAATCATGGCTAATTAAATTTATAGTTCTATAGCTCTTACCTATAGCCATATACTATAGTGTATATATTTTTTTGATGAAATTAAAAAAAACTTAGTGGATGAGTTTATTTTTCAGTATATAAATGTTTTAGTAAATGTATAGTTTGTAGTTTATTTCAATGAATAATAACAGAAAATTTGAAATAATTCTAAAATTAAATTTTGGGATTTGCCTGTTATAGCTCAGCACGATATGAATGTACTAGTCGGGTGGGGTTGTGATAGAAAAGGTTGAGGTGCATCCAAATCTGACCTACATGAAAGAATCATAAAGAGTTTTGGGATATGATGTCAGAAAATTGAAAAATAAATTATTCCTAATGGTCAAGGTGTAATAGAATCACCTGATTGAAAGAGAAGCTACTTGGGAAAGAAAATATGAAATGAGACAATTATACCCTACTCTAGTCAATCAATCAGAGGTTGGAAATACTATGGACGATGTTTTTTTTTCAGGGACACATTATAACACCAACTAAATTTGTGTACGGTGCGGCTATTTTGACCCTCTTTGGTATATGTAGCTTTTATATTTGTCTTTTATATGTATTTGTGAGTGATCTGGGTACTTAAGTGTTTTTTAAATTATTTTAAAGTGGGTCCAAGAATTTATATGTATGTGCATGAAAATCTATAATTTCTCACTGGGAGCATTGCGGCGCTGAGCTAGGAGAGCTATGGGCTAGGTTAGCAATACTAAGGTGTTAATCTATCTAGTCGATTTCTAGAAAATGAACTAATTATATGACGTTAAGGTCGGGAACTGATCTTTCTAGTGAAGAGCAATATGTTGATGCAAGGTCAAGAATCATAGTGCTAAGTCTTATAAAAATATATATAACCATTTTGTAAAATCCTAAAATCCATTTAGAGAGAGAAAAGAGAAAGATTTTTGAGTGATAAAGCTGAATTTCGGCTAACACAGACTATTTTTGTTAGACCTAGTTTAGGAAATTACTCGTATCAAAGTAGGTTACATTTCACCTTAGTTTTCAAAAATGTAGAAAATTTTGAGATTTTTCTCTATTAAATTATAATTTTATAGAGCAAAAGTGAGAATAACTTTGTACCCATAAAACTTTCACTATGTAACATTCTGTATGTTATAGATACAATATTTTTACATATTTATTTAATTTCTAGAAATTTTTCATGAAGTAATAGAAAATGAGGGATTTTTGACAAATTAAAAAATATT